CCTGCTCAAAGCCTAAAAAGTATAAAACATTAAAATAAAAATGGAGAATAAACCTGTGCTGTTACAAAGTGGTGTATTCCTATTGGTGGCAAAGCCCTCCATCGCTCAGCTGATGCACTAAAGCTCTGAATTTGCCAAGAAATGGGAGATCAGTGTTTCCTTTCAATTTAAGAGGTTGTAAAACTGGCATCAGCTTGATTAGTTTATTATTAAAATATTAACACTGTTACTGCTGATCATTATACTAGAAATGTATAAATAAAGCATTTAGCTCAGTGGTCGTCTCTTGATGTTCTATAGGACTATCAGATACTTTACTGTCTTGGTATAATGCAAAAAGAAAAATGGCTTGCATTTGAAAGCTTGTCTGACTACACAGTAGGTTCAATAAAAGATATCACTGTAAGACATCTGTCTCGCAGGACCATCTTACACTGGTGTAATGAAGGCAGTGTAGAAATGATGTCAAATGAAGTGTCGCTGGATGTGACTTGTGGAGTCTGAGTTGCCTCTAAAGTGTGGTCCGCTGGCAGCCCTCCATTTATCTTGTTTTCTTCTTTTTATCTACTTATTTTCAATACAAAGTCTAGGCATACTTTACCTGGGAAGAAGTCTCTGCAGATTTTAGTTGGCTGCACCGAAAATCTCTTGAGCACACATCCCATTTGGACTGTAAACAGCACAGGATGGAGATGGAACTACGGTCTTGCTAAGGCCTGGCCTACCCAGCTTTTCAACTGGAATAACCATCTTGGTTAAGGATGTGATTTTTATTTACTATTTATTTATTTATTTATTATTATGACAGTACAGCTAGTGTAGCCATATTTGTAGTGGCAAAAGGTACCTTTTTGATTATGTGATTTTTTTTTTTTTATTTTTTTTTTCTTCATCTAGGAGTACTTCTATAAAACACCTTTTATTACATGTACTGCATTCCTGGTAGGTTGGCGTTACAACACTTTAATTTTACTGCTCTAGTTACAGCTGCAAAACTGTCTAGTGTAGACGTGGCCTCTAATAGATCACCATAAAAATGTAGGTGCTTGAGGAAGTGGAACTGTGAATTCAGCAAGAGGTAGTCTCAGATCCTCCTTCAGTGACCCAGCTTTGTGTTGTTTCACTGTGATGTGGAGGGGTCTTTCAGATGCAACTTGTAACCAGAGTCCTGTTGTGGTTTTCAAGTGATATTCCAGCTGGGTATTTGCATCTGTCTGCCTAAAATTCCTCCTGTGGCTTCAGCTGGATTGAGTAGTTGCTGTATGCAGCATGGAGCTGCTACACAGGTGTGTGAATTGATCTATTTATATGAAACTAGTAAAGCTTGCTGCCTGCTTTGGTATGAGGTGCTGTAGAAACTGGTTCTTGATCAGAGTTGCTTGGGCTCCATCTTGGTTTCAGTTAGCTAATGGATAATCTGTTGCTCACATGAGATCTTTTTAAGAGACATCAAACTACAGTAAATGGTCAGGCTCTTCTCTGAGGTATTTAATTGAGAAATAAGCTGAAATGCCTTAATATGCCTGAGTATTGCAGAACATAATTAAAACTTTCTCAGCCAGATATTGTGTTTAGAACAAATTCAGCCTTAACTTTTGACTTTTATTTATGCTTTAAGATAGATGTTTAAAGGGACATCCAATTTAAAAAAGAGCTGGTATTTCAAGAGATACTTGTATCTGAAGTATGTGTCCTTAAACATCACCCCCACCCCAATTTATATTTAACTGTCAGTGCAGCAAGGGAGAAACAGGGGGATTCGAAATGGACTCTTATACAAATGCAAAAGGTACTAGGAATCTTTTGATAATTTGTTTGTTGCCGTCTTAAATTTCACATGTATTTGGAAGTTCTCTCTTCATTAACTAAAGGGATATCAGCTTGAGTTGTACTCTAATGGCATTTGAGCAAGTTTATTCAAGATTCAGTCTTTCCTGTCCAGATACGAAAGATGAACCGCTTATTTTCTCTGCCTGCACTTCCTTGAAAAGCCAGATGAGCTGAGGCTTCAATGCTAATGTGAAAGGGAAGGACTAGCGCTGGAGTCCAAGCCTCTAGTGTTAAAACAGACTGGAAAAGTTCTTGCCATATTCTCAGATCAGATTATACCTGGAAAAGGGAACACAAAGGGCAGTGCAAAAGTTCTGGTGCAACTGCAAGAAACTCCCAAATGGTCCTCTGAGATACAGCGACAGTTCTGTTATCTTCAGCAGCTTTACTGGTGCACAAAAAGCAAAAGCACCAAAACCTGACACTTCTCAGCTGTGCAGTTAGCTTGGACCAAATCCAGAGCCTACAGCCAGGTGGCAAGGCTGCTCTGGCTTAATGCAGTAGGATGATAATAAAACTGTGCTGTAAACAGGACACTCCACCCTGCCCCAGCTTCTCGTGCACCCTCTTTGTCATGCCTGAAACATTATTTTACTGTCTACAGTCTTTTTTAGGCTTGTTCACTTTGACTGGAAGCAGGTCAATGCTTATCTAATCTATAGCTGTAGTCTATAAGGTATAAATCTACCCCTACCCTGCCATCTACTTGACTTTAGACTAACACGGCTAAACATCTCTTTCCTTGTACCTGACCAATCCACACCCTTCCCCCATCTTGGGTTTCTGTTGCTTGCAAATGAACCAGACTCTTCCATTACAGATTCTCTGGCAATGGCATTATCCACCTGAGACAAGGAATTGGGACATTGTTGCTTGCAGTGACAAAGACTCTTCTTCCTCAGGACTTTGGTATCTGTGCAACTTGCTGTGTACCACGTATACCAGTATTTAATGGGGAGACCATGTCCATGCCTATGCTCATTTCACATGTAGGCTGTTGAGGTCACATTAGGAAGGCAAAGGGCTGTTGCTTACCAGTAGCCTGTTTGCAGTTGGGTGTCATCAATCATGGATCCAAAGATAATGGCTAAAGTGAAAGAGGATGTTGGGTAGAATTGTACCTAGATTTTTTGGGTTCTCTTGGATATAATAATCTGTGAGGTGGTAGGTCATTCCATAATGGATTGCATTTTAGTTCTGCTAGAAATCTGTTCTAGCTAAAGCTGTGAGACTGTCTAGTGTAGACATGGTGTTTGATAGGTAGAAGAGGCAGCTGAAGCTGGACATAATTGAGATGCAGATAAGTCTGTAGAGCAGTGATGCAGTGGTCAGAAAGGAAAGCTGCTAACACTAGTGGGTTGTTCAACTGGAATTACGGTAGTGCTCCTCTAAGATTGGTAGAGGCTTGGAGCAGGGGTTATGTCTCCATGCAGCTGCAAGGCCAGTCACAGCAAGGCTTTGATCCTTCTAGTGCTCCTAAATGCTACTGTAGTATAAATAGTCTCTTCCAGCCCTCCCACTTGCCTCTGTGACAAAGTGGCTTTGAGTTTCCCCTGAGAAACAGAAACAAAGTTTCCATATAAATACTTTTTAGATGCTATTGGGATTAAGTTGATAGGTAATCTCTTTGGAAATGGCCTTAGTAAACATATGGCAGCTGTTCCTGACACTTGGAGTGTCACGTAGCAAGGGCTGCAAGGCTTTGTACCCCAAATCATTTGGTTAACAGAATGCATGTACAAACTTTAACGCTGATTTCTGAAGTGCTATGTAATTGTTCCTTACTCTGAGTCTGGTGGGTGGGGGGAAGGAGTGGTCTGTGTAAATGGTTTAGTGGAGAGCTGTCCAAGGCCTCATTGGCATTTTGCCAACAGACCATATGACTGTTTCTTATTTGCATGTTAATTTACATGTTTAATCAAAATTGGATACAGACACACCCTAATGCTGGCTGGAGTTGGCTTTTTGATAGAATAGAAAAAAATGCTCATTTGACTTTGAAAATAAAAGCCAGCATTCAATTTTGTCTTCACAGAGCAGTTACTGAAGGAAGGGGACTGTACTGTTCATTTTATACATGTGGAACACACCTAAGTTGTTTCGGAACAGGAATGTAATCTGCTTGGTTGGGAGTGTGTACATTTAATACCTCCTGTTCTGGCCCAGAGAAAAATCTGGCATTCTGTACTTTGTGCTGTTGGCATGAACAGAAGCAGGTCCTGTGTGCATTGTTAAGGATATAACCTGAACTGGTTTTATTTAAGGAAGCTTTCCTGTCCATCAGAGTTGTAGTTGTGCATGTACTGTTGTCTCAATATATGCAGAATGGTTGCCTAATGGACTAAACATAAAACAATTCTGCCAACAACTGTCTGTTACAATGAGCAAATTCCTTTTTTGTTCTAAAATGGGGATAGGCATGTACTAATCTCATTTACACTTGGGATTTTCCAGTGGAAGGGACTAAAATACTTCATGAATGTCAGGCCTCAGGATGGTCTGTGGACCTAGGTAAACCTTGCCCTTTATAGATGGGGAGACTGAGGCTTTGAGGCTTAAACTTGTATGACAACCTAGGTTTGCTGATCAAATGTGCACCAGCCAGTAGAAAGTATTGCTTTGTAGGCTCAATGAGACTGTACAATGCAACATTAGTGAAAGCATTAAAGGTCCAGGAATGTTGTGTGGTGATTACATTGAACTCTAAGTTTGAGTGGATAGTAAGTTACAAGAAACCACTCAATCACTGAAGTAAAAGGTGCTGTGCTGGAGAAGCAATCTTCCTGTGGGAAATATTAACGTGAAGTACTGTAGTACAGGGGGCAGTAGTGAATAAACTGCCCTTCCCTGCTCTTGCTGAGCCATGTAGCTAGTAACTGTGCTGACTCTTACAGCTGACTGAGTAACAGTTCTGACTGGTGTTGGGAAACAGCTGGTCAAAGCAGATGAGCTTCTGCCACCACAGAAGACTAATTAGGAACAATCGGGCTTCTTTTTCCTCTGGGAACTTCTTTATCCCTATCTGTACATTCTGGTTTCCTTTTTGTGTAATGCTCCTTGAAATGGGTTCTGTCTTGGCAGCACCATATCAAAATGAAGACATGGAAGAATGTAGCTATCCTGTTATAGGAGCTTCAATCTTTGTCTTTTTTTTTTTTTCCTCTTTCTAGCTAGCGTTCCATGTGCCACTGCTGTTGAAAAGACATGCCGCACCCGACCACCCAGAGTGAGGCGCACATCTTCTCTAGATACCATAGTTGGGTCATACCTTGTGGGACAGTGGCCACGGGATGCTGATGGAGCCTTTCCTTCCTGCATGAATGACAAAGCTACCCAGGTACAGAGGCTACCTTTGAAGAGTCTGGGATAGGAGGGGGTTATAAACTTCTGGATTAGGTAAATGCATACAGAAATAGGGAAAGTTCATGGCAAGCTCAGTCTGTTCAGCTGCAACTTTCTAGGAAGACAGTTGGCCCCCCCCTTTTGTTTCTCGGCCCCAGTTCGCTCCAATTTGGTGCAGTTAGAATTTCCTCATCCTTGTTTGGAGTCAAATGGCCTCTGGCTCTTCACTTCAGTATTGGCTCATTACAACTTTTATTGCTGGCTTGCAGCTCTGGCCAAATTCTTATATAACACTCACGGGCTCAGTGCCACACACAGTGAAAAGTCAAGGGTGCTCCCACAGAAGGACTTTCTCAGCACGAACACCACAGTGCTCTTCTAGAGAATGGAATGGCTCCAGACCTCGAGGAACTCTTAGCAACCTGTAAATATTACTGTGTGGCAGCAAATGCTGTTTCTTCATGTGCAGAGGTAGAAGAATTCGGGAGAAAAGCATCCATTCACTTACTCGGCCATTTCTTTAGCCCATTAAAACTGTCTAACTTGGTGTTAGCTCTTCAGCCATTTATTACTTACTGGGCTTTTTGCAGGAAATTCTCCACTGGGTTTTAAGTTCTATTGTTCTTTGCAAATGTATTCTAGCCTGTTGTCTCTGCTGCAACATGCCCATGCCCAGGAGTTCTGCTGGGATTGGAGAGTATGTTAACCCAAAAAGGAGGGCGTTCCTTTGCCTTGTGCTTTTAAGCGGGGAGATGAGTGCAGATTGCATTTTCAAGCAGGTGCGTACTAGTAAGGATGCTTCATCCCACAGCATTTAGGCCTCTGTCTGTTCTGTTTTAGTTCCTTTCTCTCATGGGGATCTAAGATCCTTGTATGTTTCTCTTGGGGCCACATCTGACCCTTTTGTCCAGTATCAATTTGACTAATATGATCTCTAAAGAGAATTATACCACATGGGTTAACGGTACCTTCCATGTTGACTGTGCTTGCACGCTATAAACCAGTGGTTCTCAACCTTTTTGGACTTGAGGCGCCCCTCACTGGACTTCTGTGGACTCATTGGACTTACCAGCACCCCTCAGTAACTTCTGTGAATTGTGGCACCCAATTTAAAAACCAAATATATATATTAGTGCTTACCTGGGGGGGAAATCGGCCTGGCAAGGACAAGTTCACACTTGCAGTTTATCTACTTATCTGCTTATTTCCTCACATCTCATAGCACCCTTTAGAGCAGTGGTTCTCAACCTTTTTTTGTACTAGGACCCATTTGTAAACATCAGTGGCCAGTCCCGACCCAGTGCCCTTACTCGCAACCCACTGCCCCCAGCCCTCCAGTGTGGGGCAGGGAGGTGGGTGTATGGAGGGCCCCGAGCAGCCCTGGAGAAGCCAGCATTTCTTACATTTATCTTCTTTAAAGGATAATCCATTTTTTAAGTTTGTTGATACATTTTTAAAGTTTACTTGTGACCCTTTCATATGTTCTTGTGATCCACTTTTGGGTCATGACCCACAGGCTGAGAAACGCTGCTTTAGAGGATCTAGTGGGGCCTCTGGGTTCCCTGGCACCCTGGTTGAGAATTACTGCTATAAACATTTATGAATTAAAATGACACCTTCACTGTTTCATAGGTAGGGAAACTGAGCAATAAATTAAGTGTCTTGCCTTGGATCAAGAGCTGAGCTCTCTGGCAGTCCTGAAAATAAAGCCCACATGTTCTTGCCTTTCACCTTATTCTGACTTCTGATGCATTGCAAGATTACTTGTTCTCCAAGTTGCCAGAGAAGACTTTCTTCATTGTTTTCAGGCACTGTGAAATTGCCCAGGGGACCTCCTTTGGTAGCCAGGGCATGTCTGCCTTCCTCCTGTACAACCATTGATCAGCTGTTGTGCAAAACGGTCTGCCTGCTTTAAGTGTTTAAACAAGAGGTCACAGTTGCAGGTGCTCAGTGTAGGAGTGAGGATGGCAGCAGTATGTGATTGGAGCTTGTGGTTTTATCTGTCTTGCTGTGCGAGTGTTTTGCCCCTACTTGCTCTGAGGAAGTGGTTTTGCCACAGTTGGTTTAAAAAAGTTCTGTAATTTCCTTCTGTGCTGATGGGCTTGCCCTAGAGAAGATAGGCACATGCATGCTCCATCTTCGGGCCTTCCCACTGCTGCCGGCTTCTGTTTTCTTCCTTTTTAGGCTCTGTTCTTCTGGTGCAAGCTTTAGAGCAGTGCTAAGGGTTCTGGTCTCAGCTGTCTTTTGAGCAATGGTGGGTATGGTAGCCTAGTGTTGAAAGCTCAACCAACTAAATTAGTGGGGAGTCTTTGTACTGGAAATCCAGCAGATAAGCAGAAAGCAGGTTCAGGTGCAGCTTTTGGCCTATGAACCCTCTAGATGTGCAGAGTTGAGGTCTAATGGTGTCTTGCAAATGACTTAGAATAAGTTGCCATTAAACTTCTACTTCAGCCTTGGTTTGTGAGCGTGCGTTCACAGGGTGACTACTGACTCTAAAACTGACTTGTACTAATCCTGGAATTGTGTTCCTGGCAGCTGCAATTTAAGGTACCCTATAAATTGGTCTGCTGTATTGACTCTGGGCTTGTTCAGCCTTGTGCCCATACAGCCCTGGTCTTTCTGCAGAGACAACCAACACAGTGGCATCCTGTAGACTTTTTGATTGGGTAGGGAGGGGAGATGCAATCCACTAGAATTTAGAGTGATGCTAAGTTTCATGGGAATCACCAAAAACCAAACAGTTTCAGTCATCCCAAAGGACAGTTTCTTCCACTAATTTGAGATGGCTGAAAGGATCAGACCTACTGGCATAATAAGCCTGCAGGGGGGACACTTTGCTTCAGAAACTCTTGGGAAAGCAACTGCCATCCCCACTTAAGTGACACCTGGGGAAAATGCTGTTGGTACTGCTGTTGTATTAAGTTGACCCTTCCTGAAACTGCAAACTTGTTTGTGGAGGGGAGTGGAATCAACCTGCTAAACTACCAGCAGTTGGTGTCCTGAGGGGTTTAGTTTTAGTGTCTGCTCTTCAGCAGAAAGTTGGAGCACTACCTGCAAGCCAGCTGTATCTAGTTACACAGCTTAATCTATCAGAATACTTTCCACCTTTCTCTTGCTTCCCTCAGCCAGAAGGACAAGACTTTTTTTTTTTTTAAAGCAGCTTTTTGGAAAGAGAAGATTCTGCAGTGTAAGTGACTCAAAGCTGTTTTAAAACAGCTGCTGTTTTTTTGCAGTGACCCCTCTGGAGAGGTCAGTTTGCTGTTTGGAGAACTTTTCTCAGGCCCTTGTACCTTTTGGCAGCTTGTCTGATGAGGACCAAAGAGGAAGTTAACATCATTCTATAGAAATGGTAGACTAGGGGGGTGACAAAGCAAAATGAGGAGTCTAGATGGGACTAGAAACCACTGCTGTATTTGAAAGCAAGGTACCTTGGGACTTCATTCTGATCCTGTTGTCTCATCTGAGAACTGAGATGGTTATATACTTTATCATGTGAAAGTTTTTTTGCTCTTTGCTTGACCCAAGATTGGCAATCCTTTTTGATTTCTACTGATAACTGAAAAAACTTCCCCTGGAACACGGATGGTACCATGGCATTTGAGGTTCTGTTTTCCTTTACTCAAGATTTGATCTGGTCAATGTATTAACTGCTACCAGTGCAAGATAATACGCAAGCTGAGTTTCAGGCTAGGTGAGCAATAAAAAAAAAAAACCCAACAGCATCACATTCAGCAGTTGATGCTACTGGCCAAGTTCTATTTCTGTTTGCATCTCTTCTGCTCCCAAGTTTAGCATCTTCTGGTGGCTGGTGGTATTATCAACTTCAGAACACAGAGGCTAGCAGTCGGTCTGGATCCAAACAAACAAAAGAAACTTATGTTACATTGCAAAATCTGAGACTGATAGAGGCAGAAGCATAATTTATCTTTAGAAAGGTTTATCAGTATTCTTACTCATCACTGCCTTATCTGAATATCTTATAAGATAAAGATACTGGTTTTACAGTGGCAGAGTCCCTGACTGGGAGAAGCATTTTAAGAACCACAAATTCAGACACGCATTATTTGGTCTGTGGTTTGTTTGCTTTCTGTTTTCTAATGCATTTTACTGGGCATAGTGCTGAGACCCCAAACCATTAATTCAGAGCATATCCAGAGAACCAAAGGGGAGACTGGAATAGTGTGGATAGACAGTAGTTCTTCACCCCTTCTTAGGGCTCTGCCTCATGTCTAAAAGACAGGAAATCTAGAGGGTGACACCCTAAATAATCTCTCTTGCCTTCAGACTCCAGTGTCCTGGCATGAAGTGGAAGTGGGGAAAGCCAGCTCCAGTACTCATAAGCGTTCTGCATCTTGGGGTAGCACAGATCACCGCAGAGAGGTAAAAACAGACCCCTCCCCACTACTTGGCAACTAACACAATTGCTTGGTATGTAGTGGGCCTGCTGTTTTGAGGAGGGGGGGAGACGGGGGAGAGGGAGCTGTTGAAATGGAGACACTAGACTTCTCTGTGCACCTCTTAGTTTGAGGACTGTGGAGTCTCAACCAGTGCTGTCATTTGAGAGAGATTTTTTTGCTGCAAGTCAACTTTGCTCTTCCCCTTGCACCACCCTTATTGGCTCAGCTGGAAGCAAATTTCCCAAGCTGGCTTCTGTTGTGAGGTTTCTCTGGAGGGTCTGTGCATCACTCAGAGTTTCCATATGTGTAACAGGAGCCTTTCAGTGTAGGCTCCACTGTGACCTGGTTCGAAGCTGTTATTGTGACTGGCAGATTAATAGCCCACGACTGCTGGGGAGGGAAAGCTGCCTACACCGTTCTAAAATGGAGGAGCCCATTACAAAGCCCTCAGAATTACTTCCTCCCTACACTTTGAGAAACAGGCAAGGTTTATTCAAGTTTGGTTAAAAATGGCCCTCTGTCTTGGAACTTCCTGTAGGGGAACAATAGGGAAGGTTGACCTTTTCTTTCTTTTTTATAGCTTGGTATGTTGTTTTCTTGTCTGGTTCTATATCAACTGAATTTTGTTTGCTAGATTGCTAAACTGAAGCAGCAACTCCAGCGAACTAAGCTAAATGGCAGAAATGGCAAAGAGAAAGAGCGGAGCTCCCCACTGCAGGGAGATCATGCTGTCCTTGGATCAGTCAGGGTATGTTCCATATCTCCTTTGCCTCCCTCCCAGCCTAGTTTTGCAATGTGCCCTCAATAAGCTAGGAGGAGTAGGCTCCAGTTTCTGCTGCTGAATTGATGATCTGTTGTCCATGTTGTGCTCTTAAGTTCTCATGTCTGATGTTTAAAAACTGTCGTCTTTGCTTGTCCCTGAATGTCTTGGTCAGCAACTGATGGGTTTAATGCAGTCTCCTGTCAAGGCTTTATCTAATCAGTTAGACTCCTTGAACATCCTTGGCTGAACAAACCTCAGAGTTGTAGGATAAGACTCAGCTGTGCTGGGAAAACTGCAGGAGTTTTTGTGTGGACACAATAGAGCTTAGGTTCTGTTTGACTTCCTTGTTACAGGACTCTCCCTCTGGATTCCTGCCTGCCTCTCGTGCTTTGAGGCTCAGCCCCTGCTTACATAGGAGCCTTGAAGGCTTAAACCAGGAGCTGGAGGAGGTGTTTGTGAAGGAACAAGGAGAGGAAGAGCTGCTGAGGGTGAGTGAAGCTACAAGGATCAATCACTAACCTGTTGGATGGTCTCTGAAATTTTTACTTCCTGTTTTGCCAGGGACGTTTCCATTATCTTCTTTCCTTCTTGGCTCCAATTCCACATAACTACTCTTTCCAAGCTACAATAGTGTCACGGAATCCTCCCTGAGTTGAGGCAAAAGACAGCTGCCTTTCCTTGCCAAATGCCTCTTCAAAAGCCACTTCTGGTGTGACACCTATAAGAAATCAGATAATTATGGCTTGAGGGTATGTGGGCAGAGAAGACTCAGTAGAACCCAGATGGTTCACAGTCTGCTTGGTTCACAATGGACTGCTGAAGTAAGAACAAGCAACTTGGCTGTTTGTTTTGGCTCTTACTTCAAAGGGCATTGCTTCTCCATTCTGCTAGAGCACTGGGTGGTCCCAGGCAGCTGTTCCCTGTGGCTATATATACAGGTTACCTTCCAACCCCTTGGTCAGTTTGCAAATCCTCATCTTTGCAAGGGGGTGAGGAACCTAGCCCTATGAGGAATCCTTGTTCTACTGTACTTTGCTTGCAGCTTTAAGGAGCTGTGTAATAGTCCCTTGCACTGCAAATGCAGATGACGTGTTCCTCCCATTTTTGCCACTAAGATTACATGTCCCCCTTCAGAGAGAGGGTCATATCTGGGTGTCCGAGATATGTTGCAAAAGGATGCCCCCATTGTAACTGCAGTATCCAGATACTACTGCACTTGCAGTTGAAATATTGCTTAAGATGTGCAGCACTAAACTGGCAGGGAAAGGGGAGTAACTTAAAAGCTAGTAGAGAATTGGCTGCACAGTCCAGTACCCTTCCTGAATTCTCAGTGGCTTCACAACCTGCCCATGCCTGGGTACAGTCCTAAAGTCTGTTACTAGGGAAAACAGGATTCCTTTGGTTGACTGAGCTCTAATGCTCTTAACTCTTTTGTTTGTGTGAAAGGGAACTGAGGTTGAGTCCTGTTCCAATGAATGTTTATTTTATTTCTAGATCTTGGAAGTTCCAGATGGCCATAGAGCCCCTGCCCCTCCCCAGAGAGGTGATGGAGACTTCTCTCTGACTCTGGAGCCCAGCAGTAGCAGCTGCAGCAGCCTTTCTCTTTCCCCCTCCCCTTCTGTGCCCATCCGACCTTCTCTACACACCCCTGCAAGAGTGGCTTCAGAAGAGCTTACTTCTGCAGTGGAAGAGCGACTGGTGGGCAGGAGTGGTAGCACACTAACTCCAGTGAATTCTCACAGGTCTTATTCCCTCTAGTTCATGTTTTGGATTGGGCTGCTGTGACTCTCTAGAAGCTCTAATAGCATCCTGCATATGTGCTGGGTTATACTGGAGCTTCAGTAGACTTGCATGCTTCTTTCTGCTGCATTTGGGGAGCCTTTGCATGAAACTGCTGGCTGGGAAGTGAAGGCAGTTCTACAGGCCATAAGTTTAGGACACCAGTGCAAGTGTGAACCCTATAGTGGTCTGGGGAAGCTTGTCATGTTTTGATTTGATATGGCTATGTTGGATCCTTCTAGCATCTTCTCAAAGTCTTCCTTCCCTCTTAGAGGATGGCAGCCCTTCACCAGTCCTGGCCTTTGCCTCATCTCCTCGACCCAACCACAGCTACATGTTTAAGCGGGAGCCACCTGAGGGATGTGAGAAAGTCCGGGCTTTTGAAGAAGCCTTGTAAGTGATGACTGGGACGGTGTGGGGAGCGGGTGCATTACACGAGCCTAGTACCAAGGCAGCATGCTGCAGTGGAACTGCTGCTAGTTGATGGCATGCCTTCCCCCAAAGTTGGGGGACTCTGCGCTCTCTCTCTCTCTCTCTCAATTTTAGAATTGACCAGGAGTGAGGATTGCAGATTTTCTTGGGCCCCCACAGAGAAGAGGCTTCTCTTCTGTGTCTGTGCAGAAGCAAAGCTGAGTGCTGCTAAAACATCAAGAACTTGTCTACAGAGATGTCTTAAAGGCTCTTTTGTCCTTTCCACCATATACCTAAGCACTGTGCTCACTTGGCCAGCACAACTTCTTGAACTGTGAGGGTGGCTGTGAGAGAAACCCAATCTGCATTCTCCAGCTGCTAGCAGAATGGGGTTCTTTACCATACCTCTGCTACTGGCCCACACTTCCTGTTCAGCCTGCCCCTCTGCTCCCAGTCTCTTGCCTGCTGCCTTTCTACAAGAAGTGAGGAAGGCTTGCCAGTGTAGGGGGCTGATTTGGATCTTATTCAAACAAGAGTCCTGATTTCTCAGCTGCCCATAGCTCTCAGTAACCATTGGCACAATGCTTCCTAGGTGGCTACTGAAAAAAAAACTGTTTCCCAGGGGTTCATAACAATGAAAATAGTCGCCTTTCAAAGGGTTGAGACAGGAGAATTTAAACTGGAACTCTGTCCTCTAAGGAGCCGGCATATTCTAAAGCTGCAATTGCCTTAGCAGCCGGGTGGTGTACCCATTCCTAATCTGGGTCTGTTGTTTCTCTCACTCCTTCAGGTCCCCCAGTCCCAATCAGAACTTTCTGCCCTCCTGTCCAGATAAGAACAAAGTCCACTTCAACCCAACAGGCTCTGCCTTTTGCCCAGTCAGTCTGGTGAAGCCTCTCTTTCCAAACATGGGTTTTCTGTTCAGAGGTTTCCCAGCTACTTCCAGTCCTGTGCCACAAGGTATGTTTCTTGGGTCACGGAAGGATTCTGCAGCAGATGGCTTTAGCGAGGCCTCTAAATCGCCTCCCCTGAACTTTGAACACTGGAAGCGCAATCAGACAGAAGAGAATGTCCTCTTTCACAGCTCCCTCATGGTCTGAAGCCTTTGGAAGACCTGGCACAACAAAGCATCTTTAGCTCCTCAATGCATCTTAACCTGTGGAGACTAGTGCCTTGAAGTTGGAACTTTTGAAGGCTAAAGGGGCAGCCCTGGGATGGAAAAACCACCGCAGGTGTTCTTGCTGCAATGGTGAAGACTGTAAAGTACAATGTGCCACAGGACTCTTCACCACTGGGTGGCTCATTTCTTGGAGCCCCCAATACTCAAGCACTTTCATTTCCTGTGTTGAAAGTAATTGTATCCTCTGTTTTGCTGTCAAAGCACAGCTGGAGCTCTGCTGCTGTGAACAGAATGGAAACTTGAGCTACCTGGCTCTGCCAATGAGGGTCCTTGCTGAAGGGATTTAGATGGCGCTTCCTAGCACTTTTCACCCTCTACAGCTGTCACCGGGACTCTTTGCCAAGGGGAGGGAGGTCTGCAGACTGGCTGCTTCTGGGGGAGACTGGAAGAGCTGGGCTTAAGCTGTCTCCAGCTGTCTGAATGTATCTGCACCCTCTAGAAGATGACTTGAGCCACTTACAGCCCCCATGCTTTGAGAGGGGTTTAGAAGTAATGAATTATAGATGGCCACTAGTGGCACTGTCTGACCCCTTGAAACAACCACACGGCTTTCAGGAGCATCTTGGAAAGCTGTGCTTCTACAGGGGTAGAGAATGCAGATGAACAGATAGATACCTGCCACTGCACCTTCAGGGTCCTGTATATGCAGAAGACCTGCACCCTGGAAAGCTTATTACATGATGGAGGGTGAACAAAGAGGGATTTGCTGCATGGTTTCCTTGTGGGTAGGTGAGGGCCTCCACCTTGTTTCAGGGAAGGGGTGATGGAAACCAAAATCAGAGCAGCATGCAAATATCTCCACTCTTGGAAGGTTGCTGCTAGTAGAGATGTTACAATGCTGCTTTCCAGATGAATGCCCTGGACAATCTGACTGATTCTGATTTTTGGAGGGAGGGGTGGGTGGGCCAGCTGGAGTTCAGAACAGTTTTTGTTTCACTGCAGAAAAACGTGCACAGGTATAAGATTATTGTAACTGCACCTGGGCAGGAGTCTGAGATCCAGCAATGCTTATCCCAGCACAAAGCCTTACAAGGTGAAACTAACATGGGGAACTTGGATTGCAATGCCTCTAGAAAACAAAAGTATTTTGATTTGTGTTCTGTTGCTAAGGCTCTGGGTTGTATTGAAGAAGCCTATTTTCTTGTATCTGATGTAGAAACTCTATTTTCTTCCAAAGACACTATTTTTGCAGCTGTTTGAAGTTTGTATTTTATGTATGTATTGCAGAGCTTAAAAGAGGAATGTTAGCCTTGGAGTTCTTCTTGTCTCTTGTTAGAGGGTTTTTTGTTTTTGTTGTTTTATTTTCTTTTTGCAGATCCTGGTATTGCCAGTGAGAAAATAAATATTCCAGGCATCCAGAATGCTTTCTCTCTCTCTCTCCTTCGTCCACTTCCAGGTTCGCTGCTGAGCACGCGCCGCCCCCCCCCCCCCCCCCCCCCCCGGGGGGTTGAGTAGTCACTAGAAACTAAAGCTTCTAAAGGCTTTAGCAGACGGCTGCTGCAGCCATGAGTAGGCCGGCTGGATAGCCTGCATCTCCTACTGTAATACTGTCTACCTTAGACCCACTGCTGTATGTACTGCAAAGGAAGTGGGTTAATACTGTTTGGCCAATTTGTAGTCAACTTGTGATAGTCCTTGCTCTGGAGTTGAGCTTAGACTTGACAGACTTGTGGCCCCTATATTATTCTTTCTGAAGTTTAGGATTGGTTGTTCCTAAATTGTAGCCAACTAGGTTCAGCAAGGCTGAGCTCTGCACCAAGTGTTAAAACCACTTCTCTCTAATGTATTAAAGATGTGCTCATTTTAGCAGTATGAATACAGCTTCTAAATTAGGCCATGGAAAGGAAATGCAGCGGCTGGGAGGAAAACGCCTACATGCATAAACTCTGCTTCATCCTACAGTATGAGCTACAAAACAATCTACTTCACTTTAACCCCTGAGGTTAGTCATTGAATCCTGGTGCTGTAGCAGGGGAGCTCTGCAGGCTTCAATACCAACGGTTTCTTAAAGTAAGAGAGAGTCCCTTGGTCAGGTAGAGAACTAAGAAAAGACATTACTGAAGTACAGGTTGAGGGGAAGCTTCAAGCTGGAGTTGCCATTTTGGAGCACACAAATCAGATTTATTAGAGAAAAGCACCAAGCAGGGTGCCAACTTTTTAATAACCTTGTGTCTCTGCCCAGCTGCCCTGAAATTGGGATTTCATATTTCAGCAAGCAAATGCTGTCCTACCCAAAGGAGTTCCAAACTGCTCCCAGCTCCTTGGCTGTTGTCACCTTCTTATGAAATGCTCCAAAATTAAGACTCTCTCTCTCTCTCTTGGCAGGGGAAAGATGGGGAAGAGCCTTTAAACTAACATGCCAGATAGCATGCCTAGAAGTAAGATGCATTTTTGAGTACTTTTTTATAAAGTCGAGTAGAATACAATTAATGTCTTGCAAATTGCTCTATCCACAGCTCCGCCAATGTCACAACTTGTGATTCCTGCAGGTTCTGAGGAAAGGCTGTGTATTGTGTTCTGTTGAAGTAGAAATAGCAATTTAGGCCTCAGCTTGAAGTACCAGGAAATTTAACTGTACATGTGCTGCCCTCTGAAAAGCCTTCATGGGAACGCAACTTTAAACCCATTGTTTACCCCGAAGGGTGTCTATAATGAATCCTTGGGGACTTAGCTCCTGTTTAATGCATAGTAACCTCTTCCTTAAAACAGGAGGAACCTTGGATATTGTGGCTACAGAGCCCTCCCTGGGTTATGAATCTGCCATAGTAGCCAGGGAAGCAAAATGGAAAAATCTGGCCTGATGAAACCCTAAGCATCTCATAAATAGCTATTGTATTCATCTCTCTGCACCCCCTGCTTGCAGCCTGAATGACATACTTCAACCCTCCCCTATGCAGGGTGCAATTAAATCTTGATGGTAATGCTGTGCTGAAGCACTCCTTCACCAGTCTGCATTCCAGTCAAGTCTGGGATTATTTTAATAAAAAAAACCAAAACAAAACCCTACCATTTGAAAGGGACAGAAGCAAGGAGGAATAAAGGCCTACAGAAGAGACCTGCATTTTAAAACCAAGGTGCTTTGTGTTTGGCTTGTTAGAGCTGGCCCTATTCCTGCAGTATATTCATCAGCTGTAAACTCTACAGCCACTTAGCTTGATCATCCCTGCCTCTGACCGTAGAGGAGAAGGGGAGGTTTCATGTGCTAGTTTCATACAAAAGCACACAAAGCCTTCTAGTAGCCCAGGGCTGTCTCGTAGCAGCTTTTGACATGGTAAAATGTTTGGATTCTGCATACCTATCCAAAAAGATCCGAGCTGAATTGGTTAAGTGTCTTTCAAAGAGGAAGCTATGTTCTGTTCAGACAAGAGATGGTAGTTTTGGATAACTAAAGCAAAAGTACTGACTCACATTTTTATTAGCATATTATTTCTGGTCTGGCTGACAATGGAAATAGAGAGCAATGGGTAGTGGGGATATGCTAGACTAACTTGCAGTCTAGTTGCAGTTGTGGAACAGCATCTTGGAACTGCTAGGAATAGGAACTTGTTTTGTCTTTTAATAAGTGGAAATAAAATGCAAGCACTGACCATCTGTGGTTGGGGGGAAGGTGGGGGTGATTGGGGGGGGGACAGACAACATTTCAAAAGGATTTGCTGCATCCATATTTCCACCCCACTTTGTAAAAACCAACACTGTAATGGAGTCCCTTTGGTTGTTTGGCTAGGCCCAGAAGCTAGAAGGCCAGACTAAATTAAAGGAATTCTGTTGGTGCCAAAATAACAAAGCAGTTTCCCTTTATTATTAGCAGAATTTTATAAATATGCCTTCCACAGCCTATTCATCTTGGATAAGGAAAATATTCTGGTCAGTGTAAGTTGCTGATTCTTGCATGGTAGCACAGTGCTGCACTGTTTGGCTTGCGAACACAGAAAGGAATGTTTATATTTAAACACATTTTTCATTGGGTTTAAACTTATGGAGCCAATGCTGTTGCTCCTGAATTTGGTAACGCAATGCTATTTACAAACCATAAAAGTTAGATCTAAACCAGCCAGCCTTGTGCTGCTTTAATAAACAGCATGACCACACTGACCAATCAAAGTAAACCCATTCAGACTCCATGCATGCTGTTTTGGGGTCTGTGTTCCTTCCAAATATGCACATGGGGATCTAGGCTTAAAAAGGCAAACCCTTTCTCAGCTGCAGGCAGTATTAAAAATGCAGTGTTTTTGTAGATGAAAGAGCTGCAGGCCTGGGGGAGGTCAGCATTCTTGCCATGCAGCAAGGGCAGTGCAGATTAGAGGGTTTGCTATAATTACCCTTTATAAACAAGTAGTTGAATGTGCAAGTTGGCAAGACACCAGTCCCAGGAAACTACTGAAACGGCTTCTGGAAGTCTGCCTTGGAGCTGAATGTCTGCAGAACAACCCCAGACAGCCTCTGCTCCACACAGGTAAGACACCCCCTGCTTATGGGCCAAACTGTATTTTATGGTAGGAACCACCACTTAACTAGCACTGAAACTAAGGCAGGGCATGGCACAAGAAGTCCCTGAGCGGTGGCAGGTCTGTGGGGAGGGGAAGTGCCTGTTGGATGTTGGTTTTCTTTTTAACAAAAGGTGGAGGGGAGGAAATCTCTTCCCTCCCCCATGTGCATGTGAAAGCAAACAGAGGCAGATGTGCTCTTTCCAAAGCAGGAGGAAGGAGCCAGCTGAAAGCTAGTGAAATTTTAGACTCTGTTGATTATACTTGGAGGTGGCAGGGAGGGGGTAACTCCTCCCTGGGCCAGAGGCCAAGGGTAGGGAAGGTGATCCTACTCCCACGCTGTTGGAGGGATGAACATGCAGGATGAGACAGTTATCAGCTGTTGTAAGGTAGAGCTGCAGCAAGTAGGCTTTATGGACAGCTAAAGAACAGGCTGCATTGGGAACCCTTCTGCCACCCCGTCCAGCATAAATTGTAGAACTTGGCGCTGGGGCTATTTACAAGGGCTGCCTTCTGGCTATTTTGTGGTCCTGGTATAATCGTGAACCTCCCCCTATAGCTTAAAGCAATCAGGGTTTGTAGTAGAGATTATATATTTTATTAGACCAACAACTTTTTTGTAAGCTTTCAGACACAAACATCCATCATCAGGCATCGGAGAAAAGGTTGTATAAGTTCTCCTGGGTTTAAATGAAAGTTCTTATTTCATAGGATTTCACAGAGGAATCAATAGGTGGAAAGTTCCTCTGGGCAGGCAATTCACAGCTGGTATGATGAAGTGTGTGCCTGAAAACTTACCATTAAAAATATTGTTTGCAAAAATCCTGTTGGTCTAATAAAAGATGCTTCTTCCTCAGCACTAATACGGCTACAACCTGGACTTCTGTTTTTAAAGCTCAGGTTCACCCTTGCCTCTAGTTCCTTTCCAACACAAGCCAGCGGCCTGTTCCTAGCAGTACAGACCAGCGCCGTGCCTCGGGCGGACTCGGCACGGCACGGCTGCACACCAGCTGCCAGTGCTGCTGCTCTACGTCTCAGGGCACCTTTCAGTTTTTAAGTGGGCGGGGGGGGGACCTCTACTGCTCTAGGCTCTGCTCCAGCACTAGGGAAGCGGGCACTGCAGTGGAGCTTGAGAAACCCAGCGCCTGCTCCTCACTCATCCCTCAATTTGCATGAGTTGGGCAGGTCTCTGTTCCGCCTGGGGTCTCTTCCCCTCCCACCCCCTTGCTCCCTTTCAGCACAGCCCCTGCCCAGAGCCACGGCCAGGGTGCTGCACGCAGCTGCTCAAGCGCTGACCCGGGCCGGGACTCAGGGCAGGCCCTAGCCCCGCGGCGCTGTACGGGGTGGCCCGCCCCGCCCAGCCCGTGACCCCGCAACCCCCCCGGG